GTCGTTGCTTTTCCGGAAATTCAAGGGGCCAGTGTAGACAGCTCGCAGCTTATTCCGGAAAAGCGGCTGATTTTCCGGAATAAGTGGCCCAGTGTAGACACAGCCCTAGTGAAAAAGATCGCACAACTTCCCCAGTTTGTTCTATTGTCTTACCATTCTTGCAGATAGGAACCTTTACTTAGCTGGTCTAGGACATCAAAGTTAAAAGAACAGAAGTCCAAACAAATGCAAATGGGATCTCTCTGCCCTTCATCCGCATGCTAGTTGAAAGGCATGAAATCTGTAATAGAGAGAGACTCTATCAGATTTTTCAGGGGGTAGCTGAGTTAGTCTGACAGGATAAACTTTAAAATCAACAAAAGATCGGGTAGCACTTTATAGACTAACAAAACGTGTAGATGGTATCATGAACTTTCATGGGCACAGCCCATTTCTTCAGATAACTTCTGTCATCTGAAGAAATGGGCTGTGCCCACGAAAGCTCATGATACCATTTACATGTTTTGTTAGTCTTTAAAGTACTACCAGACTATTTGTTGTTTAAGCTTATCCTGTACAGACTAACTCGGGTACCCCTCTGAAACTTAAGCACATCAGCAGTCTTAGAAACTTAAAATTAAACATGCACTTAAGTTCTGTTCTAGATAGGAGCTAACACACTCACCATAATTTATAGGATCAAGCTCACTTATGACAACCACAAACACACAGACATACACTGCAATTAGAAAGTAAAAATGATCTTGGTCTTTATCTGTAAAGACCAAGGGGTCAATCGGTTAGTTCTTACGAGTTAACCTTACAATAAACAAATCACTGAAGCACAACTAAGTTGGGACCCAAATATGGGTCGTCATTACATTTCAAAAGGATCTCCACGTGTCTCCCCAGGTGGCTCTGCTCCCCATTCCTCCTCCCCCATTTTTTAATTGCCTTAGGTCACCAACTCTTCCTGAATTGTTAAAATGGGTCCCTATCTGGAAAAGGTTGACAACCGCTGGCTTAAAGTTAAGCATGTACTTAAATGCCATGCTTAATCACTTCTAGGATATCATAGAATCATGCCCATAAGTAGCAACAATTAGTTTGCTTCACCAACAGCAATCAGAATAATTAATTTAGACTAAACCCTACAAATCACTATATGACAAGACTCTCACTGGGTTTAATTTTCTGCAAATAGATTCCAGAATGAACAGGGAGTAACACGTCTGAAATAAACAGTTACCTTGGCATGAAAGTGTTGCAAATGCAAACAGTCTCAACACCACTGACTTTAAATATTTTTCCACTAAATAAGGAGAGAAAGATCTTCCTTTCTGTACTTCTTTGGTATAATTGAAATAAAATCCATTAAATAGACTGTTGTCTGAGGTTTAATTACTTTGAAAGAATTCTGCTATTTATGTATTGTACTTACACGGCAGAGACCATCCATTAGTTTATGAGAAAAGGCTCAATTCTGTAATCTGTATTTGTGCAAAACTCATATGAATAATTTTCCATTGATCTCTCAAATTAGACCACCTGGAAAAAAATTTCTAAGCTTTTGCAGTGCAAAGAAACTAACTTGCAATAGCCAGCTCTTGCAGTAGTCCTTTGGATATAAGTATGGAGATTAGTTTGCCCAAACAGTACAAAAATACACTTTGTGACAAATTAATATATCCATGAATGGTAACATTTTCAACAAATAAAAAATGTGGATATTCCCATTCCTTTGACCCACTTAATTGCCCATCTCATATAAGTACATTCTGTGTTCATTTAAGTATAAATTAAGTATAAATGAAGTCAGTGCTTGTAGCATGAAAAGATAATTGTTCACATTTGGGAGAGTCCACTGAATATGTTGGTACTTGTAAGAATATTTTACAGTGGGTAAGGGAGTGGTTATTCTTGCTTCCCTGATTTAGTGTGGCAAGTTAAACCAAAATTGCTTCTGTCTACCTGTTCTGAAAGTGAAAGATTGTGTAGTTCTGTTCAAAGAGAGTGCAGGGTAACCTGAAAATCCTAGTCCACATTTTCTCTCAATAAAACAAGTTTGAATGTCTAGGGTTGTGTTGCCTCAAATAAGCATGCACTAGCTCCTGTATTTATCTACTGAAAGTTTACTGTAATTTATTATTTTGTAAAGTAGTCCACATGGGGTTTCACATAGCAATTTTCATATTCTGTTCTACCTGGGAAGTCAGCTGGACAAAGCTATAGTTATCAGTTACTTGAGTCTTGGGCATACACAAGAGCAGTGGATTTATGTTGCACACATCCAGACAGACATCTTATTAGCATTCTTAAATCTTATATATCAGAGATGTGTGTGTTCATATTCTTTAGATAGTTTTCCATGGTGGTTGCTACAGTCAGAAATGTACACATTATGGTTAAAACAAAAATTTTACTTGTAACTCCTTATCCGGGAAAAAAATTGGCTGTTATGTTTGCCTTTATGGGAATTAGATGAACAGCAGCATCAAATCAAAATAGCAACTGTTCAATTCCTGCTATTACATGCTGCACTCAAGGGCAGGAGTTCTATGGTTCAATTTTGCCCTGTCAGTAACATGAGTTTGGAATGCAATAGTTGATTCATGCTTTGGATTTCTTCTCTCTGATCAAGGTTTCTTCTTTTTAAATCTAATCCCAACACAAATATACCATAGTTAGCACTTAGAAGTTTTAGTTAGTGAGGAGATTTTGTCCTGATTTTTTTGGTATGTATGGAATGTCAGATGATGATCTAAAACTTAAAACTATGTCATATCATTGACACATAAAAGAGATGGCAACATCAACACCACGATTATCACAGGAACATGAGCATCAGCTAATATTTCACGCTTTATACAATTTTGAAGAAAGCAGAATGCAAATGGGAAGATGCTCTTGACTGAGTGGAAAAGAAGAACTTCCCCAGAGGAGATTTGATTTTGCAAGTTTCCAAGAGCTCATTAAAGCAATTTGGAGTCCTCAATTACAGCTGGCTTAAATCAGGTCCATTGAACATGGGGTTCTATTCATACCTGTCTAGTGATACTAAGGTGGAATAACTGTTTCCTGTGGGAAAATATGTTCTACAGTGACAGTGTAAGGTGTTGCGATTGAGATTGAGATGGGAATTGACAGTGCATTCTCTCATAAAATAAGACTGTCAGAGATTAGGATCCAACCCTGCAAGTCAAAGCAGAATTCCAACTGCTTGTAATGGGAGTTCCAGAGTGTAAAGAAGGTGTACAGCTCAGTCTGTAATGGTTGAGACAAAGCTGTGGGTAATTCCTGGAAAGGCATTTATATCACATTAAAGCAAAGTGTGAAAACAAAATGTTTTAATTTAATTTTAAGTAAGTGCTCTGGGTTTGAAACAGAGCTCCCTGATGTTCATGGGAATCTTTCCACTGACTTCAATGAGCTTTGGCTCAAAACCTGGGTATGGCAGATTTTGTTCTTGGGCTATGTCTACACTGTGGCCTTATTGCAGAAATGATTATGCAAATGAAGCTCGGCGTGGAATATCACTGCACGTCATTTGCATAATTAATAAGCAGCTGTTTTTGCACAAGAGGCTTGTGCACAAAAGAGAGCTGTTTAGATGGCTCCTTTTTGCACAAAACCCCCCTTTTGCGCAAGAGCAGTTCTTCCTCATTTTTTCAGGAAGAATGGCTCTTGTGCAAGAGGCAGTTTTTGGGCAAGAAGGAGCCGTCTACACAGTTCTTTTTTGTGCACAAGCCTCTTGTGCAAAAATGGCAGCTCATGCAAATGAAGCAGAGCAATATTCTACACCGAGCTTCATTTGCATAAGATTTTCCACAAGAAGACTACAGTGTAGACGTAGCCTTGGAGTCGCATGGTATTTTGCAGCTTTGGTGTTCTCTCCTTTCTGAGGGGGAATCTCTCATTCACTTACATACTAGCATATATCTGGGAGATAAGGCGTATGGAGCTGCGGGCAAATATGTGTGTTTATTGATAAACTTATATAAGATTTATTCCTTAAAAGGAAAACTCTTAGCATATTAAAAATAATTTGTGTTAAGTTAGTTTAACGTAATCTTTGATGGAATGTGTAGCTTTTTCCATATAGTATAACCAGATCCAAAAGACAACTAATTTCTTTGTCCTGTTTTTCTTTGTTCATGTTTCCTATATTTAAGTGGTATCAGGCACAGTTTTCTAGCATGAAGTTCAAACTAAAAGAAAGTTTGTTCTTTCATAATTTGTCCTTTCAGGAGAAGGTGGATCACTGATGGATCATTTTGTGCCTCAGACCATACTCTTCTACATGGTGTTGTGCTTCAGGGTACACCAAGGTCAAGGTAGAGATCTGAATATGTACTTTTTATTTTGTAATGAATATATAAAAAAACAACTTTCTCTGTAGAAATTTGGGCTGGCTCATTTCCAGCTCTGTTGTTATGTATCCTATCATGTACTAATAAATCTCTCTCTCTCTTCATTACAGAGGAAGTGAGAGGGTCAAAAGCATCACAGTTCACTTTATAAAATTGCTTTTTGTTAAATCAATAATTCACACTGATATGAAATCAGAGACCTTTACCCATCTACTGCTACTCTGTCTCAGCCAATTTCACTGGATTATTCATCTCCAGTTCACTGCAATCCAGTGCAAAGATTTCACTATTAAGTAATAGTGAACCATTATCAGCAATGCTACTCCATGGATATCCTCTGTATCCATCCATTGTTTCATCTTGTACTTACATTATGAGCTCTCCGTGGGCACAGACCATCAATCTGTTCTGTGTTTGTTCAGGACATAGCACCATGGAGTTTCTATTTTCTTTAGTAACGCAAATAAGAATAAAATAGTCTAAATGGAATAGGCAGACACAGGGTGGAAGAAAGGGCTAGACCGTTAGTGTGAACAAACATGATGTCTCCCAATGGCATGGTAGTTTCGCATTTGTATTTTTAAATTTATTGTTTGCTTTTACCCCGAACAAAGGAAAGCCAACATCTGTGTGTCCCACAGTCAGAGACTCCGAGGGGAAATGTGGCTGGGCCCAGATGTCATCAATGAGAACAGAATAGGGATTGGTCTAGCTGCCAGGAGGCACCAGAGTTTCCATATGAGGAGGAAATCTTGGCTCATTTTTGACCATCCTTGTCTTCATGAAGCTGTCCTTTTAAGTTCATTTTGAAACCAGGGTAAAGGACGCTTTTTGAACTTCAGCTATGGGAATTTTTTTCCACTTGTTGTGATTATTGCTCACTCATATATGTCTGCTGGACTTCAAGAGCATAACTTGCTGGACTTGTCACAATAAACAGATATGCCATATGTGGGAACAAGTAGAAAGTCTCAAGCAGACATTGTGCTTTGCCTGTAAATAGTGAAAGTTAAATCAGCCCGTAACCATTTTAATGAAACTTGAACTGTGTTGAGGTGTATACATGCCATTTTAAACAACAGGAGCCCAGCTTCTCTCCTCTTCTCTCCTTTCCTCTGACAGATTGTTAATAGCAATAGCATGTTTTACTTAAGGGTTAAGCTTTGAAAATATCAATCACTGCAGGAACTATAAAGATCAGCACTGTAAACTTGGTGCTTCAAGTCTGGGACCAAAAACTTATTTAGGCCTCTAAGTGGGCAGATTTCAGAGCTGCTGAGTCTCTATAGATGTGTTGAAAAATCTGATTGCTTATTCAGGTGCCTAAATTACGTGCTCAGTGTTGGGCTCCCAAGCCTAAATACTTTGACCATAGTTTTACTAATAACTAGCTAAATATCTGGCATAAGCAAGTGTTTTATACCTTAAAAACATCAGAGCACAAAAATGTCCTAGTTGGAAAGTACTGAGCTAATGATATCCTAAACATGTCAGCCAAAATCTGCATATTGTGGATCTAGCTGAAGGCATGATGCCACGACATCAGTTGTAAGAAAACTGATGTTTTATTTGTATTTTATTTGTTTATATTTTAAATAATAAACATATGCAATGGGACACCCACCGGGCCCTGCACTATGTTATCATCTAATGACACTGCTTACTGCAGAATACATTTTGGTGCTCAGCCTCTACCTAGCTGTGTATCCTGGCATGTCTTCTTATTAATTCTCTTGTGGGCCCTTTCCATCAACACCGTTCAGTTTGTTTCATTGACTGTCAGCATCCAGGGTTTCTAATCTGTGCCATGCAGCTGTCCAAACAAGCTTATTTGAGGCTTTCATATGTGTTGTACATCACCTCTGGTTAATCTCACAAAACTGTGTGGAGCTTTAGCATGATTCTGATCTTGCAAAACCTTGCTTTCCTGCTGGAAGTCTCTTATTCTTATCTTTCCCATACTTGCCATTGAGGGATGCTAGGGGTCCAGCTCTATCCAGCAGCCTTAATGTGATAGTCCTGATATCCTGTAGATCTTCAGGGATTGGGCTCATTCCATCTGGGGAAACACCTTGCTCCCCCTTATTGGAGAAGAAACTCATGTGAGTTCCACAGAATGTTTCTTCCCCATAGCCTCCCTTCCGTGGTTTTTAATCCAAGAAGAGACAGTCTGACCTATAGTAAACATTTTCACAGATCCAGTTGACTTTTCCTTACAGGTACATCTGCCTCTTTTCCTGGAGGGTTCTTCCACTTCTTATGCTTATTAAAAGGAGACCTTGGGATGGCTGATCCCCACTGGAAGGAAACCAGAAACCAGCCTTCTTTCTGTACATATACAGAGATCTATGCCCAGGCACAGTGTATAGTACTCACTGGAAGGGAGTGATGAAGACAGATGGCTATGGTGGCTAGATAATGAGAAGCCAAGGTTAGACAGCGGGATACACAAGCACGAGTAGATCTTTTAATGTATGGTGATTTCCAGTCAATTTCAGCATAAGTATGGATTGTTTTAACCAACTACCATCTTTGCATTGCCACCATGGCTGTGCCCAGCACCATGTTCCTGCTGTGCTAGTGAAGTGCATCCACATGGTGCCGTTCACATGCCAGTGATCTCTCAAGCACTAGTCATTGATTATAAGAGATACCTTGACTGTGCTGAGACGGCAGGGAGATACAGTGTCATGCCTTCATGTCATGTCTTCATCAGACTCATTGTCATCAGTCTCTAAAATCTCAAGATCATACAGTTAATTTTATAGCTCATTTCATTGGCTCAGTTATTTGGTTCCCTGCCATATGATCCTTGGCAGTGAAGCAAACATCATGCTAAGTTTCACTTCCAGTAAGACCTAAAAATTGCTGTTCATTTTCTCCATTTTGTTAATGAAGTTCGTTCCCAGGCTTTAGATTAGATAATTCTTGTGGCCATTTTTCTCACACTTGAGCTGTTCCAAAATCACTGAGAAGGTTTGGGCTGATACATTGCCAAGGGTATGTTGTGATCATGGCTAATGCAAACTGTTTTACTGATTGCTGCAAGTCTATGACAATCTCTCTTTCACTAGAGGGGACATTGCATACTTTTGTATTGCATAAACCAATTTTCTTCTAACACATCTGTTTTTAATTTGTGTGCACATGTAAATATTTTCTTCCAAAACCTTTTCGATACTAGCAACCATTCCTGATACTCTGACTGTCCAGAGAAACTCTGAATGCTCCTTGAAATACTTGCATTTTGAAAGAAGGCCTGCAAAAGGCACCACCAACCTACCACTTAGTAGTCCCTGGGCTCAGCAAGTCCTATTCCAGCAGTTTTCATGTTGCTCACCCTTAAAGAGCCCTTTAAAAAAGCAACAACAAAAACCCAAAGAGTTTTTAGCAGAGCTAATAATAGATAGGAACATTTGCTAGAAGATGAGATTGATTCTAAATGATTAGCTTTGCAGTATAGAAAACCTCTGTCCATTTATTTAATCTCACTACAGGTTGGGTCCTGTAATTCACCAGAATTGTAATAAAAATCCTAGCTGAATCTGATTCCTAATATCTCATCGTTGGACTTTCCCTTCTGTAATGTGTTGCCTGGAATCATCATCAGTGGTTCTGGCTTTCAGCCTTGAATTTCTCGTAGCTAAAGTAATGGTCTCCGTGCAGCCCTGCACAGACGTTATTGCAAAACTATGGACTAAGGCTGTTGTGTGCGTGGGTGTCTTACTCTATACTAGATACCACATTTCAGATTTATAAGCAAAGCTAAATGGGCTGTGCCTAAAACTGCTTCATATTTAACAGCTTACTTAACCTGTCCTGCTCTGTAGCTGGAATGAAATTGCTTGAGAGAACCCTTCAATTTAGTGTGTAACCCTAAGCAACTATTACCACAAGTAGAGAGTTGAATGTTGAGACAATTGGTCTTCAGTTCTTCTGAACCAAACCCAAATCTAACCATAGGCTAGGCCTCGCATAGTGATTGTTTAAAAATATCCACCAAATCTCAACATCCATGTGGTATCAGAGCATTAAAATCCCAACACAATACTTACCAAGACCTTCCAGTCCTGTAAGCCTCCTTTTAACTGGTGTCCTTAGTGTAATGATGCTGTGGGTTACTCTCATCGTATGAGCAGTACTGAATGTTCTTTTACTTAGTGTGATGTGTTTGGCCTAGTCTTATAAAACTGTGATCATCTAAATAGTCTTTGACTGACTGAAAACAAAAACTGACTGACTACATGCATCTGACGAAGTGGGTCTTTGCCCACGAAAGCTTATGCTCCTACACTTCAGTTAGTCTATAAGGTGCCACAGGACTCCTCGTCGCTTTTGCAGATTCAGACTAACACGGCTACCCCTCTGATACTTGAAAACAAATTTGTTCTTCTGCATTGCCTCCTGGATGTGCATAAGGCAAAGCATACTGAATTCTAGCAATTAATCGCTCTAGCGTTCTCTGCCCCGGCAGTGCCAAAGTGCAAACAGACCATATTCTTTAACAGAGTCTAGTCAATATCAACATGTGTGATCCTTAAATTAAAGCAAACAGTTTGAGCATGAGATGCCAGAATGACAACAAAAACTAAGTTTTTAAATTTCAGCATCGTGGCATTTTTGCCATCCTCCATCCCTGCCCCAGCAACCCCCTACTCCCCCCCGCAAAAAAAACAAAAAAACAAAAACCAAATGTCTGCTTGTTGGCCAGACAGTGCCTTGCTTGACCAAAGACTTCAGTGGCAAGGGACCATTTTTAAAAGGGAAGGTGCTGAACCTCTTTGCTCCTGTCCACTTCCACTCCCAGCTGAGGACAATGCAAAGCACCAGCATATGGTGCCAGCTTTTGGGACCCAGTTGTTGGGTTCTCAACTGCCACCCCATGCACTGGGGGGCTATACTGGCTCTAACTGGGACCCCAGCACATGGGGCTGGCAGCAGAGCCCCTGGTGTGCGGGACGGGAGCCAAGAACCCATCTGGAAGTGCCAACACTCAAAAACCGGTGTATGAGGCAGTAGCAGGGACCCCAGACATGAGGCTGGGAGACTGTAGGTCCCTGCACCTAAGATCCTGCACCTAAGACAGTCTTGGGTCTTCCTGAGATATTTTGGGGGAGACATTCTAACAAAGTGTAACTCAAAGGGTGGTGTATAGCTTCTGGCAAGCTTAGTGCCAGGACTGACCACAAACCTGTCCTTTGCTATACACCAAATACGATAAATCTGCATTATGGATTAAGGGCCCGAAGAATTTATTTTGCATATTACAGCACCTAAATCCCAGATAAACATCAATTTTTACATCACCCTTCCTGCCATGGAAATACAGTACAAGTGTGAGTCTCAGTAGCACATAGGTTGGTTCATCTTTCTTGCGATTTATGATAATGGGGACAAAGTTACACCATAATTAAATGCTTTTGAAAATCCTAGTGCTACCACCCTATTATCACCTTTTTCTTTTAAGGGAAGTGAAGGTTACATGATTTTGTGGGCACAGCAAGTCAGTGTCCAAGCTGGGAGCAGAATTCAGTAGGTCCTGAAATCCAGTTATCCACTCTCAGGATTGTGATGAAAATGTTGCATCAGTCATTTCTCTAGTGACACCAATATCATATGTCATGGGGCAAACTAATTTGATGGATTTAAACAGGGATGAGTATTGATATTTTAAAAATATTTATGTTTTTCAGAATCTCAGGAATTTCTACCTACATTCCTCAATGTTTCCAAGAATTTGCCTCTTCAGCGTTTGTTGGTGGAATGGGATGTTAGTGACTTAGCTCACAAATTGGAACTAGAAATGGTTTTTGACATTCAAGTTAGTCGAAGTGAAGAAATGAATTTTGTCTGGACAGTAAGAATCTTTTAAGAAACAAAATTATTTTAAATATCGTCATGTATCCATACAAGCAAAAATCAAACATTTAGATGTATAAAGCCATGGTTTCATAAGACGTGTCTACATATTTTACTAAGTCCTTGCTCAAATCAACAGTTGCCTATGGAAACAGAACATGTTAAGATGTATCACTGAGATCAAAGTCCATTACTAAGGTTTCCCTCGAGTGCATGAGGATGCCTTCAAGACTCCTCCATACTACTCAACCTCATGTTAGGGATCCCTTTTTAGAGTCTATCCTCCTGGCTGAAGACAAGACAAAACAATTTCTGTCAAAGTTTCTCATAGCTTCTCTCAAGAAACATGAGTCTAGAATGGGGAAACAAGGTTTGGTGCCCTGTAAGTGAGCACACTTCCACTAAGCCATTAAGCCTGACTATTGGCTTGTGAATTCTGTTCCTGTTTTCTTCTGCTTGCCTACTCTAGCTGGCTATTGCCCTTCTTGTTTTCCAGGCTGAGGAAGGAGCAAGCATGGGCCTTAGCAGTGATGCCACTGCTGTCTCGAGGCATCTGATGATTGGATCAATGCATTGGATTTAGGCCCATTTTGGGGAGGAAAAAAATGTTTAATGCCGTGAGGGCAAATAGCTGGTGCTTGGAAGCAGAAATGACAGCCCATTAGTGTAACAATAAAACTAACGAATGCTTCAGTGTAAAATAAATGGCCATTTGTAGCCACCCTTACTTAAAGAATAATAGGCTCATTGCAGTTATTTAGATTTATTTACCATTTAGGACCCAATTCAAATTGCCACTAAATGTAATAGGGAGCTCATTATGTATTATCACTTCCTGAACAAATTGAAGTGATGGCTTATAAAAAAACATGATGCTTGATTTGCCTTCCACTGAAAAGTCTTGTAATCCAAAGTCAGTAGACTGAACTAATAGTTATGACTAATTTCCAACACACAGGGTGAAAGCTTAACATACAAAGTCCATTTGGTCAACACTTGTGTGTCACTACCAGCAGGATATGTTCTTACTACTATTTTATTGTAAAGAAGAAAGTACCATAAGTAATACAATGGATGAGTAATGTAATTCATGCTATTATTATTTTACTAGTGATATAAATGACAAGAGGTTCTGTGGCACCTTAGAGATTAACCAAAATATATATTCTATATTATGATTCTCTAAGGTACCACACTCGATGTTTTTAAAGTTACAGACTAACACGGCTACCCCTCTGAGATGTAGTGATTTAGTTCATATTATAGTTACTATTTAGAACAAAGACTAAAGAATTCCTGAATAATTAAACACTAATATTAAATCATAAAATGCCAGCAAAATCAACAATATCAGTCTCAGGAGCAAAACCATTAAAGGAAGCCCAGGTGTTATCTTATGAACAGAGATAGTGATATTGAGTTCCAGTACTACTAATCTGAGCTATCAGTGGAAGAATGCTGATTTACAGCATCTGAGGACTGGACCTAGTTTCTTGTTTTAAAAAGGTTGGAAGTTTTTTGAGCTGTACATTTGTGGTAGGCAATTACATTATAATACGTACGTGTGTGTATGCGACTTTGAGCCATACTCCTGCACTGCAGCTATGCAGAACTGTAGCACACTAGGGAAAATGCACACCCCCCCCTTAAGAAAACAGAGAACATCAGAATGGCCATACTGGGACAGACCAAAGGTCCATCCAATCCAGTACCCTGTCTGCCGACAGTGGCCAATGCCAGGTGCTGACATCCATCTCCACCTTCTGACAAACAGAGGCTAGGGACACCATTCCTTACCTATCCTGGCTAATGGACTTAACCTCCATCAATTTATCTAGCTCTTTTTTAAACCCTGTTATACTCCTAGCCTTTACAGCCTCCTCAGGCAAGGAGGTCCACAGGTTGACTGTGCGTTGTTTGAAGAAGAACTTCCTTTTATTTGTTTTAAACCTGCTGCCCATTAATTTCATTTGGTGGGCAGGCAACCATGCAGGCAGAGCAATGTTTGCCTGCATGGTTACTCTAGTCCTTGAATTGGGTCTAATCAAAGTAACACGGGGCTATTCCCCATGCCCAGTGTAGACTAGCAAAGATTTCCCCATGTGGTCTCTGTGCGTGTGTAAGGGGTGTATAAGGAATGAGACTGCAAGGAATCTTTCACTAGGCAGGAACCAGCCTCTGATGGGCCCTTCATTAATTTTGCTAGTATGTTACTGTTCCCTTTTGCACAGAATCAAAACTACTGACTTTCTATATAAATGATTCCCTAATCATAGACCTCTTTGCTATCATCAATGTCTTTTTCATTGCGTATTATAGGCAGTCACTATTCTCTTGGCTTCCATAGATAGATACACATCCTTGTAACAATAGTATATTTTAAAATTATTTTTTGCAGATTACAAATAATTTAAATTATTTCCTACAATTCCTTTCGTTACCCATCACATTGTAAGACTTTCAGTTCTCAGAGTCTGAGGACTACAGTCAAATATAAAATTGTTTCTCCACCAATATAGATATGTACATTAGCAGTATAGAGTGAGATAGACAGAAGCCCCCAGATATTCAGAAAACTATCAAGCTATGCCTTCAATGATGGGGGCAATTTAGGGTAACTTCAAGAACAATCAACCTACTGGTCATCTGAAAATGAAATTACTATTTTGGAATAGAGAACCACTGCATGATTCTGATTTTATGTGGACGTAGCTTCACGATTTCAGTGGAATTGCACTGGAAGAGTGGGAATAATGTGATTGCAAATCAAGCCTGCAATCTCGCTAATCGTATGTTTAAATGAGGCCCATAGTTAGACACAAACTTTTCTGAAAATCTGAGATGCAGGATTATAACTGGGATTTTCAAGGAACTATAGGGGACCTGCACACCTCATGTTACCTGGGGCTTTTAGAACCCAAAGCAGTAGTAACTTACCTTTTCTTTTAAGGTGGTATCAGGAATAAATTAATAGGAAGACAGTGCTTCCATTCGATAAGTGATTGATACAAGCAAACATGCTCTTATTTAAAACTGTTTATTAGATAGGAAGCATTGCACGTGCATACACATACACAATCGGAGATGGTTTGGAGTGATTCCTGGCTGGGCTTTCTGAGACCATTTTGCTAATCAGCTGAGTTTAGCTGTCAGCTCCTTGCCTGAAGAAAAGCTCCCTCCGATCACTCTGAAGTATTTACTTTTACCTAATTTTTTTATAGCTAACTTTAACAAAGCACATACCTTATAGTGACTCCTGGTAGGTTAGCACCATACACCCTTTGGTCACCAATTTTTAAAGTTTTAATAGTTTTAAAACATTTTAAATATTTTAGCTATAACAATGTGTCTGGGAACCTAAAACCAAGACATATGCTTAATAATTTGTTGTGCCTTTTTAAATTCTGATCAACAAACTGCAAGCAGACAGCTATCTGATCTTGCCTCACAAGTCTTAAGATTATTCCTAGCTATGGGATGTTTGGTTTTCATCCGGTAGTGGCTGAACATACAAAATGGCTGACTGGTGTTCTGGAGTACATGCCGGAATGTGAATTCCAACAGCAACTCCTACTGAGCCTATCTTATGTTGTAAAAGCGACACCTAATTCCACACTAAGCATTCCACATATCTTTGTTCACTGTACTCCACCTTAATAGCATGTTTCTCTTTTGTGTGTGTGTATGTTTTAGGAGTATTATAACACAACTCTCAGTAAATTGAATAAAACTCTGCACTGGAGTTGGGATTCAGAATTGCCTTTGGAATGCATGTCCCACTCTGTAAGAATCAGGAGTATGGTGAATGATGAACGATTCTATAAAGTCTGGAGTCGTTGGAGTCACTGGGAAACGGTGTTGGGTAAGCTAAGCAAGACTTTAGACTATTTCCTTGAAGATTTAATGCTGTGGTTTAATGGGCTAGAGTAAAGTCAGTAAAATAGGGGGATTCATGTCAGCAGAGGTTATGCAACATCAGTGGGCCATTTTAGAATGTACTGCTAATACAGGAGAACCTCGTTTATCCAGTTTAATTGGGACCAATGTCACCAATCTGGGCTAGATTGAACAATCAACAATCTGGATAAATTGAAGAATGGGAAAATGTGATGTTGCAATGCCATCTGGTGGCCACCTTGAAAATCTAGGTTGTTCCCCGCATGCACAGGGCTGGTTAAGTGAAGGTTCTGTACTTGTCTGTACTGTTTCATAGATCCATAGAAACGTTGGACTGGTGAGATCAGCACCTCCTCTGCCTTCCAGCTCCTCCCCCCACAGTACTGTGCCGGGGCAGGGTTAAGTATACCTAAAACATCCCTGTAAAGCTGGGCTTCTCAACTTTTGAAGGCCCAGGGGCCACAATGATACTCATAGCACATGCCGAGGGCCGCCACTTAATTGGTTGCATATGCATACAAATATATATGCAAATAGCTTTTCACACTGACAGGCATGAATACAAAGACTGAGGCAAGACTACACAACACACAAGTCCCATTTAAGTCAGTTCTGCTGATATTAATAAAATGCAATATTTACCCGATTTCCACAGCACTTTCAATGAGCATTGACAGTCCAGGAATTTAACTAGTAAAACGCATATCAATAGAAGACCATTTATATTGACTACTTTTTTTATTTTCACTCCCTCCTGCAGGCCGCTTGTTGAGCCCTGCATAAACCCAAACTGGCTCCCACCTGCAGGCCGCTTGTTGAGCCCCGCATAAACCCAAACTGCACCGCGGGCCGCAAACAAATGGGCCACATGTTGAGTAGTCCTGTAAAGCGTTTGTCCAACCTGTTCTTAAAATCTCCAGTAGCAGGATTCCACAGCCTCCCTAGGTAACATGTTCCAGAACTTAACAATAGTTTTGGTGTCTCAATCAACATCAAATGTAAAGCCAGTTTTCACAGTGAATGGCCAAGCCCTCCAGGCAGTGGACAAGTTCTCCTACCTTGTGCAGTTCACATCAACAATGAAACCGGAATTACCAAAGCAAGTGTGGCTTTTGGCAGACTACATACAAATGGGAATCCAGAGGCATTAGTCTATAAACATAACCAGGGCTTGACAAACTGCGGTGAGAGCTACTCGCCAGCTCTGCACCACGCATGTGCCAGACCGGTGCTGCGCATGAGCACAGCACCGGCGAATGGGGCGCACGGAGCGACTGGCTGAAATCTACTTGCCACAGGTGAGTAGAAACAGTGGTTTGTCGAGCCCTGAACATAACTGAGGTCTACAAAGCCATCATGCTCCCAACTCTGATGCCCGCCTGCAAAACGTGGATGGTGTATAAATGCACAACTGTGAAGTTCCATCACTTTCAAACAGGTGAGGATAAGATGGCAAGACAAGGTTCCAGATAGTGAGATTCTCCTATAGACAGCTACTCCAAGTCTACTTACTCTGTTGATGGAATCACAGATGAGATGGGCAGGCCACCAGAATGTCAGATGAACAACTGCCAGAGATCCTTTAAGGTGAACTAAAGCAAAGGAAGTGCTTTCAGAGAGGACAGGAGAAATGTTTCAGAGACTTCCTGAAGTTAATCTTTGAGCCATTTCAACATTGACTCAGTTTTGAGAAGATCTCACTCATGATCATTCTGTCCAGTGAAGTGTCTTCCATTCTCTGTGAGCAGATAGCTACTGAGGCAGACCAGAAACACTAACTCTCACAACAGCATTATGTCCTCTAAGTAACCCATAGTAGCTTCTCTTGCTCAGTTCACCACAGAGGCTATGTCTACACTGGCCCCTTAGTTTTTTCAATTTTTCCTCAGTTCTCTAGTAAGTTTCAATACAGACTTATCATCTTAAATAGTTTCTCACGGATTTGTGTCTGGCAGTCATAATTAATACCACAGATTTACCTGGCATTGCTTGGGTCCTTAGCTCAGTTTTTGTTTTTTGGAAAGTAAATTAAAAATGCCTGTGCTTCAGTGAAATTGTTGCTCTGGTGTGGGGCTGGGTACGAGGGGTTCAGTATGCAGGCTGCCTCTGAAAAGAGAGGACTACTCCAGCCCTCTCTCACCACAGCATCTTGGAGCCAAGTGAGAAGCACCTCTTTATGGTTGCTGCTGCTCCAGCAGGCACAGCCAGGAGAGGAGTGTATGTCTCCCAGCTGGGGTAAGTCCAGGTTTATCTACCCCTTGTAATCCTCAGCCAGAGTGAGGAATGTACACTTTATCCTCATTCAGTGAAGAAAGGGAACAGCCAGCTATGTCCCTATATGAATCCTGGGGGGTGTTTAGCCCTCCCTAAAGGACTCTTGAAGGATCAGAGGCTTGGGACTAAAGCAATCCTAGCTATAGGGATTCACCCCCATCCAGCACCTTTCATCTGCTTGGTGATTGTGTCTTTTCTGTATGTTTTTATGAGAAGCAATCCCATTATAGATACATCCCATTTTCCTGGCACAATAAAACTGTTATCCTGCTTTAAGTTATGATAAGAGGAAGCTGCATACCAAATTTGATAATCCAGCTCTTACCCTTTAAGAGGAGTTTGTGAAGAAATGGACAGACAGACAAAGTCTCTCAAATCTATAGTAGATTAAGGAGAAAAGACACTAATAGTAAGCCAACTAGTTACATCACTTTTGAAGGAACTTCTGTGAAGTGTATTAATAGAACCCAGGAAAAATTGGCTACATAAAAGGAAGTGATTATACTCTTTCAGAATGCCTGTTTTCACTGGAACAGCATAGCTTTTGGTGAATTAAGATGGTATTTTAAAAAGTGTTTTGGAAGGATGACTAAACAATTTAGTTAAGGAACTGCTGTCTGCACTGGTTAAGATTCACATAAGTCCTGCTTAGATTTAGATAATAGAAATGTTACCAAATGTATCAGGAGAAGCACCGAGCCCTTACCTTGCATCTTATCAGATAAAAAGCCCATCAAAACTCACCTCTTTAATGAACAAAATCATCTTTTGTTCTTGTTAGACTGAAGCCATAAGGCATCCATTTTTGAATTAAGGTTGATCCCTGTCCAAACACCATTTCCTGGTCAAAAAGGAACAAATGTTAACTCCTAGCATCCCAGCTTCCCTTTCAAATCCATCTATCAATGGGAGTCTTGCCATTGATTTCATTGTGTTCTGGATCAGGTCCTGGTGTGAAATCCATCTGTGTACACAGGCTCAGGCATCACTTACATTTTGTAAGGGTTTAAATAGGACTGAAGTGGGAGAATGAGGTGTAAAAATAGATGTTTGCATGTGGAAAGTTGAGGTGCAGTTACCAGATGTGTGCAAATGCCCGATTTTGCATTCCAAGTCAAAGGCATTTACCGTGACCCTCATATTGAAAACTTGCCCCTAGTGCTTTCTCAGCTAACTAATGAAGGGGTAGACTGTTCACAAAAGACTTCCACAGCATAAAGAAAGAAGATTCAAATTAAACCATTTATTCTTTTGTATCTTGCAGGGTTAGATACTTCAGATGACAGCACACCATACATCTTCCCCGAAGAGAAAGTTGTAGAAGAGGGCTCCAATGTCACTTTTTGCTGCATTGGAGGCAAAGATAATAAAATAGAATATTTTTTGTTTAATTCCAATGATTATTACTACCCAGCCTCCAACACAAGCCAGAGGAACCTGGTGATTACAGTGAGTAAGGTGTTGACTGCATTTGCAGCTTCTCTAGTAAAGGAAACAAAAAGTACGGAGCAACACTTCTCTTTGTGGGCAGTAAGTGCACACTTTGCTTTGGGTCTCTTTCTAGGTGGGGTTTTTCTATAATCACTTGTAAAGTTCAAGGGGGGGGTTCTCAGTTGTGATATTACTCTGGTGGCCTCCATGGAGCCATGCCTGTTTCCACCAGCTAAGGGTCAGCCTCTCCCCCCCTCCCCCCACTGTGTGCCCCTGACTAACGCATGCCAGAGAAGAAAGGTCTGTTTTCAAGTGTAGAGAGTGCAAATAGATTGACTAAAAGACTGATTAATGCTTTAACAAACAGATGAGCCCAGGAGTTTAAATGTGTAACTTTGCTAGACACTAAAATTCATGGATTAAATAGAGACACTGAATTTATGATTTATTACAGCAGTCTGTAGCACCGGGATGGGGAGCCTTTTTCTATCAGAAGTCAATGGCTTGCAGAAAAAAAGCAGTTGGGGCCACACTCAGCCACACAGGGAAAGCAGAGACTTAGGGCTTCCCCTATACTCTGGGGTTGGGCCAGAAATAAGGAGTTTGGGATGTAGGAGGGGACTCCTGGCTGGGTCAGGAGGTTGAGGGGCGAGGGCAGCGAGGGCTCTGTCTGGGGGTGTGGGCTCTGGGATGAGGCTTTGGCCAAAGGGTTTGGGGTACAGGAGGGAGTTCCATATTGGGCCCAAGGGGTTTGGAATGCAGGAGGGGGGGTTCCTCAGGACTGGGGTGGCTGGTTGGATTTGTGGGGAAAACTCAGGGTTGGGGTGTAGGTCTGGGAGGGGGCTAGGGTGCAGGTGGGGGTTCCAACCTGGGGTAGGGGGTTGGAGTACAGGAGGGGATGAGGGCTCTGGACAAGCGGTTCTTACCTCAGGTGGCTCCCAGTCAGTGGTACAGTGGGGCTAAAGCAGGCTCCCTACCTACCCAGGCTCCTGGATGCAGTCCTCATGTCCAGCCTCCATGCTGAGGTGCACACAGCCCAGATGGCTCTATGTGGTGTGCACAGTCCATGCCCACAGGCACCACCTCCACAGTTCCCGTTGGCCATGGTTTGCAGCCAATGAAAGCTGCAGAGCTGGTGCTGGGGGCGAAGGTAGCATGCAAAGCTTCCCTGATAGCGGACATGTTAGCAGCTTGATAGCCCCTCTGCATAGGGACATGCTGGCAACAACTCCAGTTCCATGGAGAAGTGGGGGTGCTGAGGCTCAGGGCTTCTAGCTTCTAGTTGGCATGAGCAATCCCCACTCCTGCTACAATCCATTAACAATGCCCTTGTAGCAACCTTTCACCCCCGACTTCACTTTGAACAGTCCCTTGAAATATGCATCAACTGCTTATGCTAAGCAATCTGTCCTCACTGGTATTTATTTAGCTGTGACACTGAGTCTATTTCCCAAGATATGTCTGCAGTACAAATTACTTTGGTAAATATTGCATTGCTTAGGAGTGTGTATAATCCATACCCGAATGACAAAGGTTATTCCGAGTTAAGCACTGGTGTGGTCAGCTCTTTATCAGATACAGCTACTGCCTTTACTGAGGCAGGAGAATTAAGCTGACAGGAGAGCTCTGTCTTGTCAATTTAAAGCAGTGGTCTCTGACCTTTTTATACCAGAGATCACACTTTGATTTTAAGGGCAACCCAGGATCTACCCTGTCCCTTCCCCAAGGCCCCGACCCCTCCCTCAAGGCCCTGACATGCTCATTACAATTGCCCCCATCACTTGCTCTCCTCCACTCTCACTTTCATCTGGCTGGAACAGAGATTTGGAGTTTGGGAGGAGGTGCAGGCTCTGGGCTGAGGCTCAAGGGTGTGGGTGCAGGAGAGTGTGAGGGGTGCAAACTCTGAGGGAATTTGGGTGCAGGAGGAGGCTCCAAGCTGGGGCAGAGTGAAGGGGTTCAGGAAAGGGTATGGGGTGCTGGCTCTGAGGGAGGAA